TGTTGTGGTTGTTTTAATTATTTGGTGATATGGTTCTATTATATTGATCATTTAAAATGAAATTGTTTGGATCTAATAGCACTTGATTAAAGTTGTGGTCATTAGTTTTTATTGGAGGTGGTGATGGTGATTTAATTACTGGTTGTCGAGCGAAATTGTTGAAAGGTGTTACACTTTGAGGATTTAGGGTTTGGTTTTGATTTTGATTCTGATTATGATTTTGTTGTTGATATTGATACTGGTGTTGTTGTTGATTTTGTTGTTGTTGTTGTTGTTGTTGTTGTTGTTGTTGTTGTTGTTGTTGTTGCTGTTGTTGTTGTTGTTGATATTGTTGCTGATATTGTTGTTGTCTTAATAATAAAATTAAATTAGAAAATTTAGAAACTATAATTGGTGGCATACTGGTTTTGGTTGCTTTTTCAATATCTTGTTCTGATTGGAATTGGACTAAGCAAAGAAAACCTAAGTCTGTCAGCAGGTGAATTCTGAAAGAGTACCATTGGAGTATTCTCTCTAAATTCGACTTTACAACCTAAAAGATGGAAATACTCGACCACATCAATTATATTTGAAAATAAATTATAGGTATTAAATGAAGCTGTAAGTTCGAAAATAAAACCATAACTTTCTAGTAATTTGATATAATATGATGGTAATGATTCGGATTCACCTTGCTGAGGAATAGGATTACCCATGCTATTCTTATAAACTGATGTATCGAGCATTGAATTATTAACACCTAACCTCATATCCTGTAAGCCATTTGGTTTTTGACTGATTGGGGCATGTATATTATTTTTATTTGCACCTGATGGAGAGTTATTTTGTGATTGATTTTTTGATGAATGTAATTCAAAGTAATATTGATATCTTGGATCATTTTTGTTAATAACATTCATATTATTATTCATTATATTATTATTACTATTCATTATATTATTATTACTATTCATTATATTATTATTACTATTGAAATAATGTTCATTTAATTTAGGTTGTGTATTGTTTTTAATAGCTTGTGATTGTGCTTGTAGTTTAAATGAAGCTGGAGTATAAGGTTGGGAGGAGTTTGATAGAGGTGATATTGGTGGAGTATTTGCTTGAGGAATAAAATGTGAAGAATTTGCACTTAAATCTGAGAATGGTTTAGATTTATTATTATGTTGTGGTTGTGGTTGTGATAATGATGGTGGTTGTGATTGTGGTTGTAATAATGGTTGTGGTTGTGATAATGGTTGTGATGGTGGTTGTGGTTGATTAATCTTATTACTAGTAGATTTAAACTCTTTTAATGTGGTATCTGCTATAATTGAAATTTCTTCATCAACTAGTTCACCAATAAATTCCTCCAATAAACCATCAATAAATTGATCTTCCTGTTCCTTTCTTTCTTTTTCTAATTTTTCCTGTAACTCTTTTTCTTTTTCTTCAAGTTCCTTCCTTTCTTTTTCTAATTTTTCTTGAAGTTCTTTTTCTTTTTCTTTTTCTTTTTCTCTACGTTCTTTTTCTTCTTTTTCTTTTTGAATTTTTAATTGTCTCTCTAATCTTTCTTGTTCCTTTTCTTTTTCTAATTTTTCTTTTTCTAATTTCTCCTGTAACTCTTTTTCTTCTTTATTTTTCTTTCTCTTGTCATCAAGATATAATTTCTTTGAAACCTTTACACAAAGTTCATCAGTGACTTCATCAACTATCTCTTGGGCAATTTCCATTAAAATTAACTCTAGTTCCTCTTCAGTAAATTCATTTTCGTTAAATAATGGTGGAGGTTGTGTTGATTTTTTATTTGATTTCTTTGATTTGGATGTTGATGGTTGTTGTTGTTGCTGCTGTTGCTGTTGCTTATTCTTTTCTTTTCTTTCCTTCTCTTTCTCTAATTCTTTTTCTTTTTTCTCTTTTTCTCTTTTCTCTCTTTCTTGTTTCTCTTTTTCTACACGTTCTCTTTCTTTTCTCTCTTTTTCTAAACGCTCTTTTTCTTTTCTTTCTTTTTGTTCTTTTTCTTTTCTTTCTCTTTCCAAGAGTTCTTTTTCCAATTTTAATTTTTCATCCATTATTTTATTTGTTGTTGATTTTTGTGTATTATTGTTGTTATTACTATTATTACCACTGTTATTATCACTAATTGGAGAAATTTTATTCTTTTTGTTTTGTAATCTAAGAGTTTCCTCTTTAAAATTTGAAACAACTTTTTCTTTAACATTTATAACCACTCTATTGATTAAATCTTGTTCTCTGGTCATTCTAGATTCTTCAGATTCACTAAGAGATAACTCGATATGTTTGCTGACTACGGTTTTTGCATTTTCTCTGTATTCTAATGAAGTAGTTGATTTAAGATTTTCACCAAACAAAGAGAATGCTAACTCTGTTAATTCTTCTTTTGGAAATAAATTTGAAAAACAACTCTTTGGTTCAATAACTAATTTTGAAGGAATGTGGAATGGTGAAATTTGATGAATATGTTGTTTTTTTGTTTTTCCTTTAAATGAATTTTTAATTTGAATAGCTAATTGATGTTGTTTATCTAATTGATATTTAACCTGCTCCTGAATTGAAAATGGTATTGATGGTGCTATAACACTTGGTAAACGTTTATTCTCTATAAAACTAATTTGTTGTCTTGGTGTTATAGTTGGTGTTACTTGATTTATATCCTTTGGAGAGTTTGGTGGTGAAAGTGTGGGTGATGAATTATTTATAGTGGTGGTAGTAGTAGTGGTAGTAGTGGTAGTAGTAGTAGTAGTTGTAATAGTATTATTATTATTATTATTATTACTACTGTTACTATTCTTTGATGTAATATTAAATGGCATAATTGATGAAAAAGAAGCTGTTGGTACTGGATATGATGAGTAAAAACTATCTGAATACATTAATTTTGTAAAGAAATTGCCTGAAAAACTGGTTTCATTATCTAAAAAATTTAAATTAATACTTTTTCAATTTTTTCAATTTTATAATTATCTAAAATTTAAATATATTTACCATCAGCAATTAATGCGATCATTGAAAATATTAGTGATTTGTGGTCCCTTCTCATGTGATCTATAGCTTCTCTTTCTGTTGAAAATTTTAGTTGATCAATTTGACATTTATATTGACCATTTGCCAATGGTACTATATTTTCCCCAATAAAATCTGTAAAAATATAATCAAATGATGAAATAACATTCTCTTCATCATTTATTACATTTGGCAAATCATTTTCTAAACAATCAAAACATTCTAATAAAAAATTAAAGTGTGTTAATATTGATTATAATATTTTATAGAAATGTGTAAATATATAAAACTTACTTATACCTGAATCTGTTAATTTGGTAAATAAAAATGGTACTTCCGGTGTTTTCATTCCTAAACCATAACAAAAATCATTTTTGCCTAAAAGTAGTCCTTCACCAACTGCTTCATGCAATGGAACGTTTGAAGTTGCTGTGTTGACGTTACTTGTATACCCAATTGATTTCCTTGAAATTGTTGATGTATTTGAAGAACCAGTAGAAGTGGCTGTAGGACTGTTATTACCACTACCGCTATTCCCTGATCCACCAACCTCGCCTGAAAGTACTAGATTTGTGATATCATTATTAATGTCATCTATATGTGGTGTGGGTGAAATAAACTTTTGAATATTTGCGATTCTTCAATTACATTGTTATATCCATAAAAATTCATTTTTTTATGTATATCTAAAGATGGGGTTATTCTTTTTTAAAAAATCGATTATTTATTATGAAAATAAATAAATGGATTTTTAAAAAAAAAAAAAAAAAAAACCAAAACAAAAAAACCAAAAAAAAAAAAAAAAAATAAACAATGTTGGGAAAAAAAAAAAAAAAAAAATTAGTGTTGCAAAAAAAAAAAAATTTTATTTACTTTACAAAAATATACACTCCAAGTTTAGTTTTAAAAATAAAGCGCAAATATAATATTTAATTATATTGTACTATTATTACTATAATTGTATTATTGATTATTATTGATTGTTATTGATTATTTACTTATTTGTAAACTTTATTAATAACAAAACACCCAACTGTAATATCATCAGGTTTACCACCTTTGGTCTGATTTCTTTTTGCGATTGGGGTTGAGGCATTGACATCTTGAGATTTGGTTTTTGCCAATTCAATTAAATGATTAAAAAAATGTTCGATTGAAGAAACTTCTTTAATAGCGTTTAAAATTTCGTGATCAAAAATATTATCGAAAAATCCATCTGTGCCTATTACAAAAATATCATTTTCCAAAACTGAATGTTCCATATATGCACCTGATGATGGTTTATCGTTACTACTCTGACCTAATTGAAATGGGAAATTTGGTTCTGTTTTTTTTAAAAAAATAAAATTAGTATTTTTAATAATATACACAATTATGAACTATAATTGATTTATTCTTATTATTATTATTATATATTTTTTTAATATTTACTATGAGTCTGTTCGGTTGATCTATAAAAAATTTGATCTTTTCTTATTATAATATATGAAGAGTCCCCTATTAAACCACTATAAACTTTTGAACCAATTATTTTTAAAATACAAATTGTTGAACTGCCCGGTATATTTACAGATTCTCTATAGACAGTTTCAATAAGTTCGAATGGTTTTAGATAGGGCGCTAATTGCGTTAAATTATTTATATTGTTCATTAAAAATCTGCTGTATTCACCTGCATCGACCCCTATATTCCTCCAAGATCCCACACCATCCGCTACGCCTACTGCTGTAAAATCTTTACTTAAAAAATGACTATCTTCGCATAAATTTGGGACTTTACCAATTGAGTTTATTAAGCCTCTAAAATATAATCTTTTTGAATTATTTTGTACAATCACTTCATAATTTGGTATGGTTTTTTCAATCTCTAAATATAAATTTAATATTAATATTTATATATTTATTTATTAATATATTTTAACTTACCTAAACTTATTATATCTATACCAGTTTGTTTTATTTTTAATCTGCCAATCTGTTTATTTGAACTATCTAATAATGTTATATGGTTTTCGTGTGGCTGAATAAAGTAATGAGATTGCTGGGGTATACTTAATTGCTGGAACTGGTCAATATTCATATTTTGTAAATTTGAGTTGTTTAATTTTAAATTTATATTCGATGGGGATGAGACATTCATATGTTGTGTTGGTTGTACCGATGATGTAAATTGATACTTTTGTAGTAATTGCTGTTGTTGCTGTATTTTTTGCTGTTGTTGTAATTGTGTTAAATTTGATGTCGAAGATGATGATACTAAAGGTGTTGGTGTGGTGGTAGATAACGATGATGTTGTTGAAGATTGGTTTTGTTCATTTTGTTGCTGTTGTTGCGAAGGTGGTTGTGATATTGTTAAACTTGAATTGATTGAAAGCCCATTATTTAAACCACTAGTTGACATATTACTACGGTATTATTATGGTTATTTGTTTAAATATAACTATATCTTTCCAAAATTTATAAAAAAAAATATCTCTATTGTTTTTAAAAAAAAATAAAAAAAAAAATTAAAATTAAAAAAATGAAAAAAAAAAAATAAAAATTAAAAAAAAAAAATAATAAAAAAGGAATATAAATAATGTCATATGAACTTTTAAACTATTGATATATTTTTAAAATATATGTACTAGAAAAAAAAATATATTTTAAAAAGAAAATTGTTTTTATTATGTATTGTATTTATTTATTTATTTATTTGGTTTAGTTTTCAACTTGTTGGAGTGATTTAAGATTTGGTGAGACTTTGAATGGAGCAGCAGTTTTAGCTTTTAATTCATCAACAGTAACGCCGTCATATTTTTCGATTAAAATTAAACCTTCTTTTGGATCGACGTCAAAAACGGCTAATTCGGTGATAATACGATTTACAACACCCTTACCGGTGAGTGGGAGTGAACAAGATTCCATGATTTTTGGTTTGCCATCTTTAGAGTTATGTTCCATGGTGACAACAACACGAGAACCACTTGATGTTAAATCCATAGCACCACCTGGGCCTTTTACCATTTGACCTGGAATAACCCAATTGGCTAAATCACCGCTTTTACTGACTTGCATACCACCAAGAATGGTTAAATCTACGTGACCACCACGAATCATGGCAAATGAATCGGATGATGAGAAAATGGATGAACCTGGAATAGTGGTAACGGTTTCTTTACCGGCATTAATTAAATCAGCATCGTGTTCACCAAGTTTTGGGAATGGGCCCATACCAAGAAGACCGTTTTCACTTTGTAATTCAATTCTAATACCCTTTGGGATATAGTTACTGGCAAGAGTTGGCATACCAATACCTAAATTACAATACATTCCATCTTCAAACTCTAAAGCAGCACGACGAACAATACGTTCTCTTTTAACGGCAGCTTCATTCTTTGGTTTGGCGTCGGCGGCTGGGGCACCTGATTCTTTTTGGACAGTTAAACGTTCGATTCTCTTTTCAAATGATGGACCCTTAACGACTCTGTGAACATAAATACCTGGGAGATGAACTTCATCTGGTTTAATTTCGCCGGCTTCGACAATTTCTTCAACTTCGGCAATAGTGATTTTAGCGGCGGTGGCCATTGGTGGATTAAAGTTACGAGCTGTATTTCTGAAAACTAAATTACCACGAGTATCGGCTTTCCAAGCTTTGATGATTGCGTAATCACCAGTGATGGCTTCTTCTAAACAATATTTACGACCATTAAATTCTTTGACTGGACGTGGTTCGCTTTTAATTTCAACTTTACCGCTACCATCAGCAGCATATTTAATTGGGAAACCACCTTCTTCAACTAAAACTGTACCTACACCAGTGGCAGTGTAGAAAGCTGGAATACCAGCACCACCAGCTCTTAATCTTTCTGCTAAATTACCTTGTGGAGTTAATTCTACTTCTAATTCACCCTTGAGATATTGACTTTCAAAAGTAGCATTTTCACCAACATATGATGAAATCATTCTTTTAATTTGTCTAGTCTTTAATAATAAACCTAAACCAAAATCATCAACACCACAATTATTTGAAACAACTGTTAAATCTTTAACACCTTTATCACGAAGAGCTGTAATTAAATTTTCTGGGATACCACATAATCCAAAACCACCAAGTAATAATTTTGAACCACTTTGAATATCTGCAACAGCATCTTTAGCTGAATTATAAACTTTATTTGATCCTTTTGATTTTGTTGAATAATAAAGTTTAAAGTTATTATTCTAAATAAAAAAATTTAAAGAAATTAATAACCATTTATTAATTGTGTGATCGATCACATTAAATTATTAACTATTATTAACTACTATTATATGTTAAATTTGTTATTATCTTTTAAAATAACTTACAACAACAATATTTTTTAAATTTCTTGAAATCATTTTTATATAATAATAAATAAATAAATAATATAAAAAAAAAAAAAAAAAAAAATCTTCAATTTAGAAAAAAAAAATTAAAAAAAAAAAAAAATTAAATTTCGAAAAAAAAAAAAATTTTATGACAACACGCACCCCAAAAAAGGACGATAATACTTTTTTTGTGTGTCTGCATAATTTTAATTAACTTAATAAGAAATCTTACAAATATTAAAAAACAGTTTATATGAAAAAGGAACAATTATTGGTATATTAATTAATTCCTTTCCATAATAAATCGTTTATTTTTAAACAAAAAATATTCTCCATTTTTCTCTTATTCTCTGGAGAAGAAAGAATGCTTTTGAAATTTCAAAAAAAAAAAGTTAAAAAAAAATAATTTAAAATCAATTTTTTTTTAAAACTGATTGATTTTATTTAAATTATTTATAAAATTTAATACACACACACATTTAATGATTGGGTTTTAAAATTAATTTTTTTTTTAATAATTGAAAATATCGGAAAATAAATCTGAAAATAGTTTCATTCCTCTATTAAAATCTTCGATTGGCATTGGTTCTTTTTCTAAAGCTTGAAGCATTCTAACACCATGACCATCTGTGATAAAATGAAATAAAAGGTATAAATATTTGGGTGTTTAATTTTAAAATAACGACAATAATTTTTAAATATTTACCATATAGGTTGTCGGCATTCTTATGTACTTTGATATAGGTAACATCTTGGATACCTATTTGCATCATAGCTGTTTCTAAATCTTCGAATATAAAAGAGGCATGTTCGCAACAGATTAAAAATGCATAAATAACTTTATTTCTATCTCTATTTATAAAATGATGAATCTCATCTACCATTTTTTGGCATCTTTCATAGTGCTCTATTTTATAAGGACCCAATTGTCTAAAATGTTTGTGACAAAGGAATGCATGAGGACCCTCATTAAAATCAGAGCCAAACATCTCGTCACATGCATTTTCATAGATTACACTTCCTCCAACACCAGCCATATACAATGAAGATAACAAAAGGGTAAATAAAGGATGAATGGTAACAGACATGGTTTGCATATTATCGGGTGTATATTTAAACATTGGTCTTAATGTTTTAAACATATCCATGATTTGGTCATAAATATGTTTTCTTTCTATTCTCTTTATATAATAATTTGAAACATCATAATCAGTTATATTATTATTCTTTTCATTTATTTCTATCATTTTTTTTATTATACTATATAATATGAATTTGTGTAAAGTAATGTTATTATTAACTTTTAAAAAAATTGTTTAACTATGAGATTTTTAAAAATCGATAATGAAAAAAAAAAAATTATGTATTTATATAAATTTTTTTATTAAAAAAAAATATTGTATTTTACAGGATATAATATTTTACATAAATATTAATAATGGGTTATAATTTTTTTGGGGTTTAATTTTTATATGTAGATCTTTTTAAAATAGTAAAATTAAAAAAAATTTGATATAGTCATAAAAAATCTTATGGAAAACTATTTATTTTTGATGCTCAGTGGGGTAAAAAAAATATTTTTTTTGACTCGCATTTTTTTATTAATTTCTATTTTGGGTTAATTATTGATAGATTATAAGATTTTAAAAATTATAATATTGGTTAAAATCATTAAATTAACTATATACAGTAAAAGAATACATATCTATTTAAAAAAAAAAAGAAAAATTTTCGAAAATATTAGGTATTATTACTCATAGAGATAAAAAAATATTAATCAAAGACAGATTTATAAATATAAAAATTAAAAATAATAAAATAAATAATAAAATATAGCCAAATAAATTAAAAAATAAAAGGGTTTTGAATAAAATAAACTTGAAAAATTAAACTAGTAAAATATATTATTTGAAAAATTTTATTTTATTAAAATCTTTAATGAAATATTGTAATGTACATTTAAAAACAATTAAAAATATTATTATTATTATTATTATTATTTTAAAATTAAAAAGCCATAGAAGATATCTTCTATGTTGTTTGTTTGTTTTTTTTTTTTGTTTTTTTTTTTGTTTTTTTTTTTAGTTTTTTTTAGTTTTTTTTTTTTTTTTCTTATTAAGTTTTAAAAGATTTATCTGTAACTTTGAGTTTCAAAACTTGTGTCCATGCTATCCATGTTTGTGTCTATTATATCGTTTATATTGTTATTTTTTATATTATTATTATTATTGCTGGTGCTGTTGTTGTTGTTGTTGTTGTTGTTATTATTGCTATTATTGTTATTATTGTTGAAAATACCATTATTAATTGTATTAGTGTTGTTTAAGGATTCAAAATTGTTTAAGTAATTCATTCCATGGCTAAATGATGTTGGGGTTCCTGGAACTGATAATGATAATGATGAAACGTTGATTGGGAATTGTACATCGTTCTTTTTAAATACACAAAAACTTCTGTAGTAGCTGTCAAATTTATCATATACCTTTAAATATTTTTCGAAGCCTACACAATTTTCATTTTCGTTCATTGTTTCCATTTGAGATGGGTCCATTGGGTTTGTAATAATATAGTTTGCATAAGGATCATTCTGTTCAACCTTAACATATTGTGCATATGGATAGGTTTTATCGATAGATGGGACGAATGGAGGAAAAGATGCAAATGGATTAACTTGACCTATTGAAATGGGCGAGGCATTATCAATGTTATTAATTGTCATTTTATTTATATTGTATGAGTAGTGTTGTTGTTGTTGTTGTTGTTGTTGTTGTTGTTGTTGTTTATCATCAAAGTCATTGTTGTTATTAATAATACTAATATGTAAGTTATTACGAGGAGTACTACAATTATTATTATTATTATTTCTATTATTATTTACATTATTTATATTATTGTTACTATTATTCATACTGATGTTATTGTTACCACTATAGCTGTTATTTACATTATTTACATTTATATTATTTATATATTCATTATTACTGAATCTTGGTGATTCTAATATATTGTTTCTTGGGGTTGAAGAGGAGGTAGGTGAAGAGGTTGGTGTATTTCTTTTTTGAAAAATATTTTCATTATTATTATTGATGTTTGAATATAATAATGGTGGTGGTGGAATATATTTTGGATGATCCATAAATTCACATTTCATTTTTTGAATTAAGATATCGTCATTCATTTTTATTATTATTATTATTATTATTGTAATTTATAAATTATTATAATTATTTTAATTATTATTATGTAAAATATTATTTTATTAAAAAAAGGGTGAGTGAGTAAAAAAAAAATTAATAAAAAAAACAAAAAAAAAAAAATACTTTTTTTATCTTTAAAAATTTTATTATTTAAATTAATATGTTATTTATATGTTTATTATTACTATTTATTTATTTGTTTGTTGATTGATTAATTGATGTGTTTGTTGTTTAAGAAACAAAAAAAAAAAAAAATTTAAATTTAAATCATTTTTTTAAGATATATAAAATTATGAAAAAAATAAAACTTAATT